AAAAAAACTAAATTTATTTACTTACATCTCCAATGCCCACCAATGACTTAGGCCATGCAACGAAGCTCCCCAAGCAATCGGCCACAGTCTCTATATGCTCAGTCGGACAAGGAATGGTATATTCACCCATTCCAGGAAGCACAAGGGTCACAGAGACCTTAACCTGGTGGGGAAGGAGGGGAACACCGTGCACCATATCTCCCGGTGCACGTGGGAAAACTGATCCATGTGCCACTATGTAATCTGATGGATCAGAGATCCTCAACTAACAAGGAGAAACCTATAAAATACAATTAGTAAACTATTTTCGGAAACAAGTAAACGTAAACTAAACGGGAAACCTTAATTACAAAATATATGTACCTCAGTGACACCGGCGACGTCAACAAAATCTGTAGACGCCTTGCTACTACGCTGAAGCTCATAATGAGGTGGTACAGACGGTGTGTACTGCGACATGGATGCCCCTTCTGGAGCACTCCCGGACACAGATAGTCCATACTGCTGCAGAAGGGAAGGAAGACGCTGCAAAAGATCATCCTCAGTCAAATAGTTACCTTCGGGCTTACGAGGCTTCATGTTGCCATTAAAAACTTTACGTAAGCCCGAATATGACCCAACACCCCTCGTCCGTCCTGGGTGCTCGGCAGACCCTAAAGCTCTAGTCAGTACATCATTGTGCCCATTTGGAACAAAGGTACCGGCTGCGACCTCTTTCTTTAGCTGAACCTACAATTAAGAAAGAAAAGAAGTAAAGAAATTGTAAGCAAATAATAAACAAGTAATAAACATATATATTGACGCAATTGTAGATTATATGCTTACTATCCTATCACGAATCTCCATCAGTGCAGGGTCCGTAACTTCTGCCTGCCTCCCCGGGGTGTGACCTCGCAACCAAGTGTCCTCTCGTCCCAGCTGAGAACTCTTCTCTGTAGACGAACCAGCGATATCAGCAGAAGTACTAGTGTTGGCCTGAGAACCAACTGCCAACTCACGCAAAAGCATGGCATATCCACCTCGGCCCATAAAATGCGGATAGGAATTCTTCTTCTGTATATCCCTATTCTTATCGCTCAAAGCCTAAAAGAATT